ACCGTGAAGTTGCCACATGATCTGAGTACAATCGTAGCACATCAAGTCTTGACACTACTAGTACTTGTGACATGATCAATTCTGCTATGCTCTAATGCAGACTAGCAATAAGAGGCATTTGTCAGATACTAGTAACCATGAGGTACTGAGATGATTCTCTTCGGCAAGCCACCCACTCTGCAAAAAAATGCACCAAAATTAATAATCTGTCATCTGCCTGCTCCAACTTGACTGTCCTCCTGACAAGTGAAAACCGCTGGCGTTGTCCGGCCATAAACACCATTATTGGCATCAATCCAATGCATTAATCCAACGCCTTCGTTGCTCCTCATCTCTGCAGCTCATACCAATAGGTCTGGCACGTCGAAAAACTAAAATACTCGGAGCTACAAGCTACATTTTCAGAGACAGGGTTGCAAATGGCAAGAAACCCAGCTTCCCTTCACCTTTGGCATCACGAGCAATGACCATTTATCAGCCAGCAATGTTTTACTAGAGCAAAGGCCCTGGCGGGAACAGAAACAGCAACGTTTCTTTCTCAGCAAAAACAAATAAAAAGGAAAGGAACAAAAAAGGATCAACACCAGGGATTCGTCCATACCCGGTACCCAGGCCAGGTGTGTACTACTACTACCCCTGGAAAGGCTCTCCCACAGATTGCAGTACAAAAGCCACGGCCAAGTGTCCCACTGAGGTGCGGTCGCTTGCCCGGACCGCTGGGACGCGGACACCTACGAAGAGCAGCCTGTGACGTTTATTTTTTATGACAGAAAATCCGCAAAAAAAGTTGGGCTTGTCCCTTTAGGCTTTCGCCTCTCTATAACATGACCCAGCTGTAATGTCCGTGCTCGCATTGATTTGATTTTTGGTTGGCTTTGAGGGCGCTGGCACCCACATTCAGTGACCCAGAAAATTTGGCACTGCTGTGAATAGTTTAGTCGGAAAGTGAAGATTCACGGGTAAAAAGCCTCAATTTGTGAGATAGGCTATTTTTCAGCTTTCAGCAGCCCTGGGCGAATTCTTTAGAGACATGTGGCTGCTTTTCTTGGTGCACTTGTCTATGTCCAGCTACACAAGGACATGATGACGGTCATTGTCATTTTCTGAGCTGCGAACGGGCAGAAAGGTGAGAAAATGTCGGATTTTGACCATTTGTGCTGACCTTTGAATTTCATTGTACCTCTCTATAACATGACCCAGCTGTAATGTCAGTGGTCGCATCGAGTTGACTTTTGGTTTGCTTGGAGGGCGCTGGCACCCACATGCAGTGACCCAGATAATTTGGCACTGCTGTGAATAGTTTAGTCGGAAAGTGAAAATTCACGGGTAAGAAGCCTCAATTTGTGAGATAGGCTATTTTTCAGCTTTCAGCAGCCCTGGGCGAATTCTTTAGAGACATGTGGCTGTTTTTCTTGGTGCACTTGTCTATGTCCAGCTACACAAGGACACGATGACAGTCATTGTCATTTGCTGAGCTGCGAACGGGCAGAAAGGTGAGAAAATGTGGGATTTTGACCATTTGTGCTGACCTTTGAATTTCATTGTACCGCTCTATAACATGACCCAGCTGCATTGTGAGCGGTCGCATTGATTTGATTTTTGGTTTGCTTGTAGGGCGCTGGCACCCACATTCAGTGACCCAGAAAATTTGGCACTGCTGTGAATAGTTTAGTCCCAAAGTGAAGATTCACGGGTAAAAAGCCCCAATTTGTGAGATAGGTTATTTTTCAGCTTTCAGCAGCCCGGGGCGAGTTCTTCAGAGAAATTTGGCTCTTTTTCTTGGTGCACTTGTCTATGTCCAGCTACACAAGGAGATGAGGATGGTCATTGTCATTTTTTGAGCTGCGAACGGGCAGAAAGGTGAGAAAATGTCGGATTTTGACCATTTGTGCTGACCTTTGAATTTCAATGTACCTCTCTATAACACGACGCAGCTGCATTGACAGCAGTCGCATTGATTTGATTTTTGGTTTGCTTGTAGGGCGCTGGCACCCATATTAAGTTACCCAGAAAATTTGGCACTGCTGTGAATAGTTTAGTCGCAAAGTGAAGATTCACGGGTAAAAAGCCCCAAACTGTCAGATAGGTTATTTTTCAGCTTTCAGCAGCCCTGGGCGACTTCTTTAGAGAAATGTGGCTCTCCTTCTTGGTGCCCTTGTCTATGTCCAGCTACACAAGGAGATGAGGATGGTCATTGTCATTTTCTGAGCTGCGAACGGGCAGAAAGGTGAGAAAATGTCGGATTTTCACCATTTGTGCTCACCTTTCAATTTCAATATACCTCTCTATAACATGACCCAGCTGTAATGTCAGTAGTCGCATTAATTTAATTTTTGGTTTGCTATCCCGCGAATTATTATTATTACTATTTATTATTTGTAGGGCACTAGTGCTCGCATAGATTGGATTTTTGGTTTGCTTGTAGGCCGCTGGCACCCACATCGAGTTACCCTGAAAATTTGACACTGCTGTGAATAGTGTAGTCGCAAAGTGAAGAATCACGGGAAAAAGAGGTCGGTGTGAGTTTCTGAGCTTCGAACGGGCAAAAAGGTGAGGAAATGTCAAACTTTCGACCTGTTGTGCCCATCTTTCACGCTTCAATGTACCTCTCTATACCATGACCCAGCTCTAATGTCAATTGTCACATTGATTTGAGTTTTGGTTTGCTTGTAGGCCGCTGGCACCCACATGCAGCGACTCAGAAAATGTTGCACTTTTGTGAATAGTTTAGTCGCAAAGTGAACAATCACGGGACAAAGCTCCGAACTTGGAAATAGGTTATTTTTCAGCTTTCAGCAGCCCTGGGCGAATTCTTTAGAGAAATGTGCCTCTTTTTCTTGCTGCACTTCCAGCTATACCCAGCTGTAATGTCAGTGGTCGCGTAGGTTTCATTTTTGGTTTGCTTGTAAGTTGCTTGATCATTTTTGACAATGTGTGTCATTTCTGTTGCGCATTTCCCTTTTGTGGTGTCAGATAGAGTTCATTCACAACTAGCAAGGAGGACAACAAACGAAGAACAACATTCCAAGCAGTGTGCGAACACAAAAGGGAAGTGTGTACGAACACCAAGGAAAGTGTGTACGAGCGCATATGGAAGCAGGAGCTCTAGGCGGGTGCATACGGGGTGCGGGAGTTGCACCATATACGGAAGTATGCCATATACATCATGCCCCTCCTAAGATAAAAACGTACAAGTGTTTATCTAATCAACAAAAATAATGTGAAAATTGCATGTGCGTAGCAAATGACATGTCGCGGAGCAGCAGCAACTTCCAACAGACTTGTAAAAGGGATAATTGCAAAAATTATATACATGAAGGTTTTCAACTGCGAAACAATGGGAATGACAATTGAATAGGTACAATGGACATCAACAACTGAACAGAGCTAGTGTTAATTGTACGATTGTCCACGCGTTGAAATAATGTTAAAGGGGACATTCTGTCGCCGGGGACGTTGGCTTGTTCGAGGTGGTACCTGAACAGTTGACTGTGGCGACGACTGAGTCACAGGGACTGCTTGTGGTGCAGCGTCGGGTACGGGAGACGATGCAGGCATGGCTGTTGAAGCTGGAGTAGGAGGACGGTACGGGCGGAGGTAGCGACGGTTGCGCCAATATACGCGTCCACTCGGTAGCTTGACGTAGTAGTCGCGGTGGTCACCGATAGCCACGACAACGCCGCGGGAAGACCACCGTTTTGTCTTCGGGTGCTGAATGTCAACGTGCGTCCCGATAGACAAGTGGGGGAGCTCTCGGTGAGGCTGACTGGGAGGCTGGTCTACGCGATCAACATCATCCATGTCAGATGCGGTGTCTTGCCAGTGGGAGTCGAACTGGCTCCATTGGGCGAGAACGAAGGAGACGAGTGGGCGACCATACAGTAACTGGGCAGGACTCTTTCCCGAAGTGCCAGGAGTATTGCGCCACTCGAGAAGGCCACGCTGGAAAGCATCGGTGTCTAGATTACCATCATTGGTAGTCTTTTCCACCAGGTACTTCATTGCCTTCACGGCTGCCTCCGCATGTCCGTTCGACTGTGGGTAGTGAGGGGACGACTTGATATGACGGATTCCCCAGCGCTCGCAAAATTCAGCAAATCTGTGAGACGCAAACTGAGGACCGCCGTCCGTTGAAATGACCTGTGGTACGCCTACATCTGGGAACCACCTGCGGAAATGACGAATGACGTCAGCTGACGTGGCTGAGTGACCAAGCTTGGCGATGCATGGCCATCCGGTTAAGCGGTCGACGAATACCAAATACTCGCAACCTTGGCAACTGAAAAGGTCAGCACTAACACTTTCGAATGGCAAAGTGGGCTTGCGGTCAGAAATGGGCGGTTCGGCAGACTGAGACGGCTGAAATTCACGGCATGCATCACAGCTGCGGACTAGCGTGTCTAACTCACTGTTCATTCCGGGCCAATACACTGTCTGACGGGCACGTCGTTTGGTACGGGTCAGACCTTGGTGGGCTGCGTGAAGGTCGATCAGCGTTGACGCACGCAGAGAGGCTGGGACGACTATGCGTAGACCTTTCAGGACTATGCCATTGTCGGTGGACAAATGTTCACGCACGTTCCAATACGCACGAAGAGGCTCGGGCAGCTGCTTTTGTGCTGAGGGAAATCCGTTCTGGATATACCCAAGTAGCATCTGGTAGTCAGGATCAGATGCTGCTGCGGCACGGAGCTTAGCGAACTGGAGACTCTGGGGACCATCTTGGAGTAAACAGATACGGATACTGCGGCAGGACAGTGCTGGATCTTCTCCAAGTTCATCATCACTAGTCGGGATTGATACAGGATGCCGTGAGAGGGCGTCTGCGAATACGTGCTACATCATCACCTTTGTGTGCCGATTTCAGGAATTCACGGCGGCCAATGTCCATTTTGCAGCCGTGAATAGTCGGAAAGGTGAGAAATGGTGAATTTTTTGGAAAGATGAAGGATTAGGCCATGCAATATATACAAAAAAATATGAAAAATGTAAAACACACAGCCAGTGGGGCTCTATTTTATTTTTATGCCCAGAAATTGCTATTCACCACATAGGCAGTGCCCCTGGAAATTTGACCCTGCTGTAGCTGGCTTGAGTTCCAAGTCCGGATGTACACGCAAAATGCCCCAATCTTGGAGACAGGTTATTTTCAGGGTTCAGCAGCCCTGGGCAAGTCGTTTATGACAATGTGTGTAATTTCTGTTGTGCACTGCACTCTGTGTGCCTATTGCGGGAATTCACGGCGGTCACTGCCCATGATGCAGCTGCGAACGGGCAGGTGAGAAATGGTGAATTTTGGCCATTTGTGCGCACCTGTTCATTTCAATGTACCTGTGGGTTAATGGGCCCAGCTACAATGTGGATCACGAAATTGCTTAGATTTTTGGTTTGCTAGTAGGCGGCTTACACTAGTAGGCAGTGCCCCAGGAAATTGGACCCTGCTGTAACTGGCTTAAGTTCCAAGTCCGGATGTACGGGGAAAAGCCCCAAACTTGGAAATCGATTATTCTCAGATTTCAGCAGCCCCGGGCAGGTCATTTCTGACAATGTGTGTCATTTCTGTTGTGCACTACACTTTGTGTGTCTATTGCAGGAATTCATGGTGGTCATTGTCCTTGTTGCAGCTGTGCATAGTCGGAAATGTGAGAAATGGTGAATTTTTGACCATTTGTGCATACCTGTTCATTTCAATGTACCTGTGGGTAAATGGGCCCAGCTGCAATGTGGGTGCTGGAATTGCTTAGATTTTTTGGTTTGCTAGTAGGCCGTTTGCACTCGTAGTAAGTGACCCAGGAAATTTGACCCTGCCGTAACTGGCTTGTGTCCCAGCTCCGAATATACGGGGCAAAAAGCACCAAACTTGGAGATGCGGTATTTTCAGGGTTCAGCAGCCCTGGGCAGGTCGTTTAGGACAATGTGTGTCCTTTCTGATGGCCACTACCCTCTGTGTGCCGATTTCAGGAATTCACTGCGGTCACTGTCCATGTTGCAGCTGTGAATAGTCGGAAAGGTGAGAAATGGTGAATTTTTGACCTTTTGTGGGCACCTGTTCATTTCAATGTACCTGTGGGTAAATGGGCCCAGCTGCAATGTGGATGCAGGAATTGCTTCGATTTTTGGTTTGCTAGTAGGCCGCTTGCGCTCGTAAGCAGTGCTCCAGAAAATTTGACCCTGCTGTAACTGGCTTGAGTTCCAAGTCCGGATGGAAGGGGCAAAAGCCCCAAACTTGGAGAGAGGGTATTTTCAGGGTTCAACAGCCCTGGGCAGGTCGTTTATGACAATGTGTGTCATTTCTGTTGTCCACTACCCTCTGTGTGCCTATTGCAGAAATTCACGGCGTAAATGGGGCCCGCTGCAATGTTGGTGCTGGTATTGCTTAGATTTTTGGTTTACTAGTAGGCCGCTTGCACTCCTAGGCAGTGCCTTAGGAAATTTGAAAAAAAGCCCCAAACTTCTGTAACTGGCTGGAGTTCCGAGTCCGGATGCACACGCAGCCCTGGGCAGGTCGTTTATGAAAATGTGTGTCATTTCTGTTGTGTGCTATCGCAGGAATTTACTGTGGTCACCGTCCATGTTGCAGTGGTGAATACTGTAAAAGCCATATATAAAACGAAGTGCTAACTCTAACGAGTTAACGAGGAGAAATCTGTCGTTAAAATAGAAATCCTTATACTGAAATCGATACATATAATGTCCTATTCAGCATTGAGAATGAGTGAGAATCGTTACCTTTGGTACACGTAAACTAGTCAATTTTGGGAAATCGTTATATATGCGCCTCGTTAGAATAATGGCTTTTACAGTAGTCGGAAAGGTGATTGGTGAATTTTTGACCATTTGTGCGCACATGTTTTTTTAATGTCCTTTGTGTAAATGGACGCAGCTGCAGTGTGGGCGCTGGAATTGTGTTGATTTTTGGTTTGCTAGCTGATTTTGTGAGGTCTGCATTTGCCACTAAGGTGGACTGCGAAAGCGAAGGCTTGTGTGTTTCTGACCATTCAAGTGATGCTAAACTCGAATCTCGGGAATATTATTGTTAATAGTAGGCCGCTTGTACTCGTAGGCAGTTCGCCAGAAAATTAGACCTTGTTGACCCTGTGACCCCGTTCCAACTCCGCGTGCACGGGCGAAATGCCCGAAACTTGGAGATGGATAATCTTGAGCTTTCTGCGGCGCATAATGCGTTTGATTTCTGTGGTGCACTACCCTTTGTGTGCCTATTGCAGGAATTCACGGTGGTCATTGTCAGTGTTGCAGCTGTGAATAGCCTGAAACATGAGAAATGGTGAACTTTTGGACCATTTGTGCGCACCAGTTGGCCAAGCTGCAATGTGGGTGCTGGAATTGCTTTGACATTATTTTGGTTTGCTAGTACGCCGCTTGTACTCGTTGGCAGTGCCCTAGGAGATTTGACCCAGCTGTTACTGGCTTGAGTTCCAAGTCCGGAAACACGGGCAAAAAGCCCCAAACTTGAAGATGGTTATTTTCAGCTTTCAGCAGCCCAGGCAAGTCGTTTATGGCAATGTGTGTCATTCCTGTTGTTCACTTCTCTTTAGTTGGAAGGTTGAGAAATTGTGAATGTACTGTCGTGGACGTGCAAATCCGGTCGCACGTCTAGCGGCCCCAGGGCGCTAGCCATGCAGCCGAGGATAAGCGGAATGCTGAATGTATATGCACTGCAGCGCGCTGGTCGCATCGGATCAACATGACTGCACGCAGCGTTCTGTACGCGCTGAGGGCGGCGGTCCCGGTCAATCGACTGGATTTCTATGTCCGCTACAGTACCTGTGTGTAAATGGGCCCAGTTGCAATGTGGGTGCTGGAATTGCTTTGATTTTTTGATTTGCTTGTAGGGCCGGAAAGAAAGAATTTGGTACAGCACTCACACTTTTCCCTTAACATACCAACACTCAAATACCCACCCACACACATGTACCTCACCTGCATTTCCCCAATCTACACTTACTTCAACACTACTCGCTGCTCACGTAATAGCGCATCCAATAGTGCTAGCTTTAGATTATCAGTGTTGGTTGTATCAGTTTTACTTCGAAGTAGATCTAAACTTTATGGTACCATAATCAATATTTTTCCTTCGTCGTCCAACTCTCGGTGTGATGAAGATTTCGTTCAAATCATATTGTCCTGTTGTTCTCAAGTATGAGTGCGAACACTTTACTTTCATCGATATGAAGATTCTTGCCTGCCGACTTTTTGATCATTTTTTAGCTTATCCTACCTCTGAACTTCCCACCTGAAATGTTTGGTCAACCGCCCTCAGCTACCATTATTTTATTTTATTCCAAGCAATACATGGCTGGGGTAGCCAATGACCACTTTGCGTGGCGATTGCAGGGTTTTTATAGCCAACCACGGCTATCATGCACAGAGTGCAAAATAATTGTGTACGGGTTCATCACATGATGTGAAGTTCTGCCGTCGCGGACCCCATACTCCATAGACTAGAGTTGCACACTCTTGGGGGTTATGTACTCTTGATGTTAGGCATCTGAATGTGTGGTGGGCATCTGAACGTGTGGTGGGTATCTGAACGTGTGGTGGGTATCTGAATATATGGTGGGCAACTGAATGTGTGGTGGGCATCTGATTGTGCGGTGGCATCTGAATGTGTGGTGGGCATCTGAATGTGTGGTGGGTATCCGAATGTGTTGTGGGTATCTGAATGTATGGTGGGCAGTGGGCATCTGAACGTGTGGTGGGCATCTGAATATGTGGTGAGCATCTGAATGTGTGGTGTGTATCCGAATGTGTTGTGGGCATCTGAATGTATGGTGGGCATCTGAATGTGTGGTGGGCATCTGAATATGTGGTGGGCATCTGAATGTGTTGTGGATATCTGAACGTGTGGTGGGCATCTGAATGTGTGGTGGGCATCTGAATGTATGGTGGGTATCTGAATGTACTGTCGTGGACATGGAAATCCGGTCACACGTCTAGCGGCCCCAGTGCGCTGGTCATGCAGCGTGGATAAGCGATACACATGCATTGTACTAGTAAGTAGTATGCGGTCTAGTGCGCTGGTCGCATCGGATCAACAAGACTTGCACTGCAAGCAGCGCTCTGTACGTGCTGAGGGATTTCCATGTCCGCTACAGTACATGTACATGACTGTGCACATGTATGGTGGGCATCAGAATGATTGTATGGGTGGGCATCTGAATGTATGGTGGGCATCTGAATGTATGCTGAGCATCTGAATGTATGCTGGGCATCTGAATGTACGCTGGGCATCTGAATGTACGCTGGGCATCTGAATGTATGCTGGGCATCTGAATGTATAGTGGGCATCTGAATGTATGCTGGGCATCTGAATGTATGGTGGGCATCTGAATGTATGGTGGGCATCTGAATGTATGGTGGGCATCTGAATGTATGGTGGGCATCTGAATGTATGGTGGGTATCTGAATGTATAGTGGGCATCTGAATGTATGGTGGGCATCTGAATGTATGGTGGGCATCTGTATGTATGGGTGGGCATCTGAATGTATGCTGGGCATCTGAATGTATGGTGGGCATCTGAATATGTGGTGGGCATCTGAATGTATGGTGGACATCTGAATGTATGGTGGGTATCTGAATGTATGACGGGCATCTGAATGTACATGTATGACGGGCATCTGAATGTACATGTATGACGGGCATCTGAATGTATGGTGGGTATCTGAATGTATGGTGGGTATCTGAATGAATGGTGGGCATCTGAATGTATGGTGGGCATCTGAATATGTGGTGGGCATCTGAATGTATGGTGGGTATCTGAATGAATGGCGGGCATCTGAATATGTAGTGCCCTGCCTTGCTAGTACTGAACTGTAGCTGACTACTTATAGCGTATATTTTATTGTATTCCCGTACGTCTGTCGCCCTATAAAAGCAGCTGGGCGTTACTGATTTCTGATTTCTAAAACTGCAACAGAGCCGAGCAGAAGAGCTGTTCTGACCTCCAGGTGTCCACCGGAGAAGGTTTCTTTCTTGCCGCTTCTCTTTCTTGCCTTTTTACATGTAATCAGGTGTGTACCTGAGAAAGTTCGATTTAAAGTGAATTCGTGTTGATTGCCGTGCCTCCACTCGGCTACCCACTACGAATGTCTTGTGGGCATCTGAATTTATGGTGGGCATCTGAATGTGTGGTGGGCATCTGAATGTGGAGTGAGGGCATTTGAATGTCTGGTGGGCATCTGAATGTATGGTGGGCATCTGAGTGTGTGGTGGGCATCTGAATGTATGATGGGCATGTGAATGTACATGTACATGTATGGTGGGTATCAGAATGTACTGTACGGTGGCAGTGTTGCCAACCGCCCGCATTTGTCTGTAGTTTTGTCCGCAGTATGGATTTCAATCGAATTATTTAATTATTCCGCAAACTATCGTGTATGATAGATTACTAAAACCTTTGTGTTGGGTTCAGTTAGACAAGACAACATTGGTGCTAGTTTCAGTTCTTGTCCAAAACAAACTCAAATCAAATATCCGAATCCAAAAACCTACAATTGTAGTGTACGAAACTGTGCCCATGCGCTTGGACATCAGTAAGCACGCAGAACTTTTGTTAGCGATGACATGAGAGATCCGCTCACAAAACATGCATAAAACACAGAATAACAATAATAAAAAAGAGACCCATGACGCATAATGTACACAGCAGATACATGTACATGTACATGTACATGACGTTACATTGTATAAATAGATGGGAATCACACTCCTGTGATCACAACACTTCGTAACTCCATCGTTTCTTGTGCAAATTCAACACTCGAAGGGTCTACGTGGTAGCGAAACCTCCAAGCTGTCCAATGCAACAATCGCCGAAGAGTGACGATGTTGGATTCCAGAGATATCAAGCGCCGTGTTCCGGTATTCCTAGCTCGGCAGATCCAAATTTTTGATCGATCTCTTCGTCATGTTTGGAGAAAATGCCTTTTCGCATGCTCTTGGAGCGACTGAGCACATCATTATGGCGTAGCCGGTTGAAGTCTGAATTGCGTCAAAAACATTTGAGCGTTCTGTGATGAAGGAGAGTGGAATGGTGATGATGGGACAAATATGCTTGCATATTAGGCTTGAAGACGACTTAGCTGTGTTACGGCGCCTGATTTGTGGCAGCTTCATAATGGCGTTGCTCCTGCCAAGAGCTTTCCAACGAGCCCTAGATTGTGATAATCAAGCTACGTAGACCACGGTTATGACCTGGTGAGGTTGAAAATTGTACTGAATTTGTGAGGTTCACAAGTGAACTCTGTGACTGGAAAAGTAGTTGTACAGTATCTCGTTTGTTCCTCCAAATTACACTACAAATCAGTCAAAATGTTGACCCAAAAAACGAGGACGCAAAACTGAAAAATGGCACTGGGAAATACGCTTGGGGGTAGAGCGCATTTGGTAACACTGTGGTGGGTATCTGAATGTAGGGAGGGCCCAAATATGCTTGCGCATATTTTGGTCCTTTTGACACAAGGTCGGATAAAGTACTTGGTCCGCCCAGTTAAAATTGGCGCTTATCTTCTCACTTGTTTTTTTGGTGTTCTGCCTGTGCCATACGGCATGGAACCGCCGATTCACCATCCGAACATGACCATTGACCATTGCATCCGACGACATGGCAGCACAAACCATCACAGAAGTTGCGATCAGTTCGTTTGAGTCTTTTTGACGGAGCTGCCGCCGACGAACACTTCCGTCAGCGCAAGAAAACACTGCAACCTCCGCTCGAGTCCGTAAAATAGGTCAGGATGTTCGCATTTCAGAGCGATGGAGAATACAGTTTCTGTCTACTTCCAGCTGTCTGATGGCAAGGATTGTTTACTCTGGGGAGGTATAGAAAAGCTGAAAAAGCGCTTCGCGAGCTTGAATTTCAGTGCTTGCACAGTACAGCGCCTAGTGAAGGGCTATCACCAGCAAATCGCTGACGAAGAAACTGCAGCTCATGTCGATGTCTCCAGTAAGTGAGACCAATCCGGCGGACACACTTTGAAGCTCACAGAGGACAGGGCAAAGGAGCTAATCAAAGGAAACACCAAGTCCTGAGAGAAACACTCGTGCAAAGGACTTTCAGGAAACTAGCCGAAAAGCCTGGTGCACGGCGTTGTAGGTGCAGTACGCACAGGTGCTACATCAAGCGGAAGCTATCACTGCGCTGCATGTACAAGCACCAGCGGCTCGCGTGGGTACGGGTGCTGATCAGCAAGTCCGACAAGCGCAAGAGGCGATTTGAAAAAAGGACACTGATATGGCGTTGCCTTTTTGTCTCAAACAAAGTCGCATTATTGCGACGAACGGGGATAACACAGTCAACATGCGGGCAGTCTCACTCAGCTTCTGATGGGAAGGTGACAGGCACGCACTGCCTTTGAGCGTGATTCGAGACGAGGAGAAGTGGAACAAGCTATGAAACGACCTGTGCAGCAGCTGTCCGGATCGTACGTTTTGAGCTCTTCCTCCAGCGACGATAGTGGCGAGGAAGATGTGTAACTTGCTTGAATTTTCGACTGAGTTGCTTACTGACATGTAAATAATCATGTATATAGTGCTTTGTGACCGTAGCTTGCTTCAAATATTAGTATTTCTTTCCTGAGACAAGTGTGAAGATAAGCGCCAATTTTAACTGGGCGGACCAAGTAGCAAATCTAGCATACGAAATGTAGCATATTTTGCTACAAGGAGCATAGAATTCGCATAATTATAGGGCAGATTGCGGAAATGGACAAGGAAACTTACCACGGCACGCTCGGTCAGGGAACACTTCCAAACTTAGCCCGGAAGGAAAAATGCTCATTCAAACACGTGGCGAAACTTTGACCCGAGAAGAGAGTGTCCGCGACTCAAGGTCGCATAAAGTAGCAAATCTAGCATATTGTACCAAATGTAGCATATTTTGCTACAAGGAGGAAAGAATTCGCATAATTATCACTGATATCAGTTCATATTTCGAGCATATTATTCTGCTTTTGTGTGATTTCGAAGCATATTTTGAAACAAATGGCCAATATGCGAAAAGCATAATATGCGAAATTTTTGAGCATATTTGGGCCCTCCCTATCTGAATGTATCGTGGGCATTGGAATGTGAGCCGCGCCAAGCTAAAAAGTGGCTTAGCGTTTTGCCAACAAATCGAGAAAATCACCAAAACGTCACAGTTGGCAACAATCTACTCGAGCGCAGTTGCAAAAATATTCACTTTCGAGCACCCTTTCAAGTAAATAGTTTGCCAGTCGAGAAGAAGAAAGAGGACTTTCTATTTTTGAGCAACACTTCTTCAGTGCTCCCTCTTTCATCGTTGTGGTGATTTCTCGGCGCTGCCAGAGATCATAATGGAGCGTTCTGGAGAATGTGGAGGTGAGCAGGACGACACTTTAACTCCCTGTGCGCCCAACCCTACTTGACGAGGAAGTCTCGCTCATTCATAATGACCGTATTTCTCATCGTGGCCATGACGAGAGCGGCTAGTATAGCTATGGGGAGACGTATAC